TAAGACAAGATTTGTTGCCAAAACACTCTGCAAGAAGCACAGAGGATTCTTTATATAATTTCAAGGTAGCATGCCTTCTTGTTTGTCAGTCTTTTTCCATGGCAATCAGAATAATTTCATGGACGCTGGTAAAGATAGCCTTGGCTGTAGAAGTTTCCATTTGAGCTTTCAAGCCACGTAAGGAAGCCTTTCGCTAAATATTGATGTGTCAACTACGATGATGATTCAACCAATTCCAGTAATTGATCATCAATCGAAATGCAGAAGAGTCTTACTCCCTCGAGTAAACAAAGCCTAAAAGAGTGCTTAAGAATCTCTGAATTAAAATTGACCCATACATTCAAGAGGGCAATATCACTGGATTGAGCTAACAAATGAGCAAGTGTCAGATATTTTCCATGAAGCCGTTAATACTGGGGCATGATCGATTCCAAGGACAATACTAGCATACAAAGAATGAAACTCAATCCGAGAAATAAAACAAAAACTAATTCATTGTGTATACATCTTAGACATACTTAAGAGCTTCACATTTATCATTTTCGCATACATATTTTTTGTAGCTTTAGAGTCAAGTTTCATCCTTACGACGAAGGATACTCAATTCAAAAGTGTCATCAAAAAATCGATGATGGTTGCTTAACTTAGTGGTAAGGAGGTACAACTCAACCAACTTGACCTATAGAAAGATCGACAGATCTTTGAATCAACTTTAAATAAGGTTTGAGAGCCAATTCAGACGGGTTCGAGAGCCAATTCAGAATGGGTTCAGTTCAGCTTAACTCAACGATGAATGGCTAGTTTCCACTTAAAGTTTCAAGCCAGATTTCAACTCCACGAAGAATGATATCCGACTGACAGAATATACCACTTGGCTTTCCAGCGAAGGGAGTCATCTGAAGAATCAAGGTTGAATTAAACTGTGAAGGGGAGTCGTCTCACTTGACTTTCCCATGAAGGGGAGTCATCTAAAGAATTATTACTGGCTTAGACCCGTAAAGGGGAGCCATCTTTCATTTAGAGGAACAATTTACAGTATAGCTCAAGGCGAGAAGGACTATCTATCAACGCAAAATTTCGAGTTTGATTCTATTCTGCTTGAGGGCATATCAACCGCATGGTAGCTGCGAGGAACTACTTACCGGTTGAACTTTAAACCGAGGTTTTTAAGTCAAGAAGAAGACCTAGGTTGGTTGCGATTTAGCAACAAGGAACTATCTCTCAGCCGAATTTATAGCAAAGCTTAAGTCGAGAAAAGTTGTCTGTCAACGGAGACTTTCAAGTTCGATTCCACTCAACTTGAAGGCATATCAACCTCATGGTAGCATCAATGAACTACTTTCTAGTCAAGTTTTCAAACCGAGGTCTTTAAACCGAGAAGAAGGCCATGGTTGACTATGATTTGGTAACAGGAAACTACTTTCTGATTCAAATTTCGAACTACGATTTCAACTTCAGAACGAAGAATATCATGTTCAAAGACAACTCCGGAGTCACCCACAGTATGGCTCAATAATAGGGAGTCGTCCTCTTCTTCGAATCTCAACTCCACAGCGGAGGGTAGTTGATAAAAATTCAACAGCAACCTTAAGTTGGATTTCAAGATCAGAAGTCAACTCTCACATGAGCATGCTTATTTCCAAGCCTATATGCACCAAACGAAAATTTGCATCTTTTTGTTTTTTCCCTATTTTCGTTGCACGATAATGGGCTAAGAGGGGCAGCTGTAGTCACTCATTTTCGTCCGAGGTTCTATTTAATATATACATAATATATATAATATATAGTTTTGAAAACATTTTTGAACAAAATATATAATATATAGTTTTAAAAACATTTTTAAAAAATATATATTATATATAGTTTTGAAAACATTTTTCGAAAATATATATAATATATATTTTAGAAAACATGTTGCAAACTATATATAATATTTAGGTTTTGAAAATGTTTTTCGAAATATATATAATATCAGTTTTAAAATATATTATAGTATACTTATTTTTTATTTTTTTATTCCTTTATTTTTATTTTTTTATGTTTTTTATTTTTTAGGTCCAATAAAGTCCAGTAGAGGCCCAACAAGAAGCCCAATCGGGTAAGCCTGACTCAGCAAACCCGGTTAGGTGGGCCTGACCCAGCCCAAAATTCTAAACTAGGGTTTCATATAAAGCCAAAGGGGTCGCACAGGGAGTGCGTGTGGAGTCACGTACCCGAACAACTCGAGAACTGGCCGAATCTCTCGGCCCTTGAACAGGTAATCGAAATAGCAACAACGTGCCAATAACCGACCGAAGGTTGGGACTGAACCATCCCTAAAACCCCACCCAACGACGCACAAAAAAATCAGAGCGAGTAACCCACGAATCCCCTCCCGATCGGGACTCAAAAACAACTAGAATCGAGGCTATAAAAAGCTTCTGGTGAAACCAAGCAAGACATAACAAAAACATATGAATAAGCCTAGTGAACAAGTCAAGTCCAAGCATAAACAACCAAAATACCTAAACACTATTCGGCCATACAACCAAAACACAAAAAACAAGCAAGCAAAGTTTGAAAAGAAAAACAAATAAACATATATCAATGGCAAGGGTGCAGAGGAGCATCATCGAAGAAGAGAATGTCGGAAGCCGAGAAGACGCGACGAAAAAAGGTAAAAGTTGAGACCTTGTTACTTAGATCTACGCCGACTCAGCTTATTTGAGGAAGATCGGGCCTCGGATTCAAAATTACAGGGTGCATTAATCTCGTGAATTAATTTATTCGAGAACGTTATCTCGAGAGTTTAGCCATTAAAAATATGTCTGATATCTATTTTTTTTTTAATGAAGAAAGAGAACAAACTAATGTTTAGCCTTGAGGTATGGGGGACCGAGTACATCTCTTTCCAGCAAAGTAAAACAGCAGGAGCAGTCTGGACAACGGTCATGCTAGTTCGAGAGTCATCAGCAAGTTTGGCCAGCAAATTGGCAGGTTTGTTTGCTTCCCGCGGCACCCAGTTGAAGGTAACCTGCCGATCGTTCCCATCAGTTAGCTGATAGAACGGACAAGGGGAATTGAGCTTGAAGAAGCATGGGGATCTTGGATGAGCTTAAGAGCGTCCATACTATCGGATTGAATCTGCAAGTTCGTGATGCCATTGTCCCAAGCAAAACGAAGACCTGTGAGAATCGCCCAAAGTTCTGTAATAAGAGTTTGTGCAAAGCCAACAGTTTTGTTAAACCCCATAATCCAGCGACCTACGCTGTCTCAGATAAGGCCGCCAACGTAAGCAAGTCCAGTTGAAGATGAGACACCACAATCAACATTTAAACAAAAAGAGTACAGTGGAGAAGACTTCCATGGAATTGGCTCCGCAGAAAGGAGATTTGAAGGAGCCGTGAATAGCGGGGAGTCATTGTAATAATAATAAAAATAAAAATAAAAAGATAGTTATAATTATTAAAAATCATTACATAAATTTAATATATGAGTTATACAAATATAAAATAATAAAGTTGATAAAATTCAATAACACAAAATTTATTTTAGTTTTAGTTTAAAATAAGAATATAATGTTAATGCATATTAGATATTAATTTAATTTTTAAAATTACAAAAAAATATTTCTTTAAGTAATAGCACTCAAAAGTGTCATTAATATAAAAAATATGTTTAGTGAACTGAGACCCTCAAACTTTTAGAAAAATAATTAGTGCAATCTCTGATTTTTTTTAACCAAATGTGATCGTTAAGTTTAGAAAAAAAAAATAATCTGACCCTTTGAACAAAAAAAATTAAACGTTATTTGTCACGACGCTTACATGACAATCCACAAAATTGACAATCTATAATATTGATGTGACAATACTCGATGGACGATGATGTGGTAAATGAATTTAATTGATAATTTTATAAAGTTGAAGGACTTATTAAATTTTAAAAAATAAAAAATTTATTTAAATGAAAAATATAAAATATAAACAAAGTATTAAGATATTCAATAAATTAACTATAAAAATATTACAAAATTAAATTATAAAAATAAATTAATTTAAGGATTACATTGAGTATAAAAAAAAAGTTTAGTGGCCATATTAACTTTTTTACAAAAGTTTGGGGTTTTAAGATACCATTAAATTAAAAAAAATTATTGTTATAATGATTTAAATATGTGTAAGTTAAGTTAAAACCCTAACTATAATATTTTCTTATTTTTTGAATTTCCAAAATAATTTTAATGAAAATAGTGAAAACATCTTTTTTTGTGTTCATATTTTCACTTATTTTTCATTTTCCAGAAATTATTTTCTAATTTTACAACCAAACAAGTTTTCTTCAATATTTTCTATTTTCCATGAAAATAACATATATTTTCTAAAATCAAACGGTATCTAAAATTCTCAAATAATTTAAGTATTTTTTATTAATAATATATTTTAATCCTTAAAATTTTATAATTTCATTCTCTAACATAAAATCATATATACTCAAGGATGGACCTAAGGAACGAATAGGGGCAGTCACTTGCTAAAATTTTAAATTACCATATATTTTAGATTTTTTAATATATTTTCTATTGAAATTTTTTTCACCCCATAAAATTTTATAAATTCAAATACATCCCCTTTGTATTTTTATAAGTTCAAATTCATCCCAACATAAATGCATGCGTTAGTCCCTGTTTAGACTTGCATGTAAATGACAAGAACTAATAAAGAACTTCAATTTTGTTCTCTTGAGAATATACAATAGTTGATGAAGAAAAGAAATGTAAGGAATATATAGGGTTTTCCACACAATTTCTTTTCCTTTTTAGAAAATTTGTTTCTAAAAAGAATCACATTCACACATACATCGATTCTAGTTCTTTGACCCCAACAGCTTTTAAGAATTGTTCGAAGCTTCGGTTTCTTTTTGATTGGTTTGCCGATGAGCGGACAACATCATGCCTTGTCTTCTTGTAGACAAAGTATTCCACTATCATCTTTCAAACTCTTTTTAATGTTTTTCTTCTTCTTTTTTATAAATTCAATTCCATGGCTTGGACTCTCCTTTTATTACTCATCCTCACTTCAAGTTAAAGATGCTATGCCTTTTCTTTTCATCCTGCATTCCAAAACAAATTTTACTGTTAGAAATGGACTAAAAAGAGAACAGGAACCCGATTGAACCTACACATGATTCTCTTGGATTTCAATGTGAATATTAGATATGAATATATTAATATAATATGACAAGATACTAGATTATTTAAGTAATGTCAGAGGTTCGATTCTTAATATTTGCAAACAGAACAAACTAGGATGAAGGGTCACCTCCATATTGAACCCGTAAAACATCTGATTCGAATTAATCAATTAATAAATCGAACTCTAGTTATAGAAAAGAAAAAGCAAAAAAGGTTGTTGGCTAAGTAAATTAGGTCCACGAAAAAAAGGGGGTTAGAAGGCTAAAGAATATTGATTGTCAAACATGACATGAACCCAATTCAAAAGAGAAACCCTTTTTCCGGACTACGGACAGACTTTTCTCAGCTTTGAATAAAAAAGTTCAAGTATGGGCCCTGTTCCACCTATGAATTGAACCGATGCATGCCACATAAATGGGATGATTTGTTGTTAGGTGTGAAGTTTGGGTTTTAAATCTCAGTTGAAAGAGACATGTCAAGGGGATGAAAAAAGAGTAATGGGTCAAATAGGTCATTCTAGCTGACTTATGACACTTGTCAAGAAAAAAATCATTAAAGGAAAGAAAAAAATTTCTAAAATTTTCGGTGATTACAAAATAATATATATTCAGAAATTTTTTAATCAATTGACGATACGTACACACCTTCCAGAACCCAAAATCTTTAAAAAATATTTTTTTTACTACCGAAACCACTTGATGAGTTAAAAAACTATCTAAAACTTTTCACAACTTTATAACATTAAAAGTATCAGTAACTTCCTTATAACAAAAGATAATACATGTGTCTATTTCATCATTTCCATTAAATGATACTTCCTTTGACCAAATGATTAAATGAAACTTGAAAGGAAAAGGCATACCTTGATGATAGAAAGTGTGGTGGTTGGGAGAAATCTAGTTGAGCTTAGGGGTGGGTTGCTTGAAAGCAACAGTGGGAGCAATTCTGAAGCTCCTCCTCTGATGTTCCAATACAAGTTCACCTGCAAACCAATCTAATTTCTCCATATTACTTTCCTCACCAATCCTTTTACCCCCAAACAACACTGATTCTACGTTTCTCTGCTTCAGCATTTCCTCTGCTATGCCTATCAGCATCTTCACATTGCTGGGGCTGGGGTCTGTATCTACATTAGCCCCACACCTGCCTACACTCGATCCATTTGCCTGTAAGATTTTATATTAACAGACTAATTTATAAGATTTTAAAGATGAAAAAGATTATTATATTTTCAAACAGATTATCGATAGAAAAAATAAATAAAATATATAAATATTTAAAATTTTCAGAGGTGACCCACCTCCGCCAAGTCCATCGCTGACTATGACCCAATATTCATTGCAATATAAATAAATGAATAACTTGGCCTCCATACTTTTTATTCCTCAAGTATATGTGTTCAGTATATATCTAAATAAAAAGTAAATTAAGGCTATAATGAAGCAAATTAAAATAAGAAAAGTATTCTTCTCGTCAGAAACGGGCACATAATTTTATGTTAAAGAGACAAACTTATAAAATTTTAATGGTTAAAAACATCAATAGAAAATACAAAGAAAACATCTAAATTATATAAGAATTTTAAATTTTTAGGAGGCGGCCGCCCCAACAACTTCTCGATCCATCCTTGCTTCCAGTTACTTATCATGGAGTCCATTTTGGCATTTAAACTCTTGTATTAGGTTCATCAAAATACATAACCTAAGTTGTACTAACATATTAAGGTAGGAATAGAGCAACATGTAAATAAATACTACAGCACACAAATATTTGGTTTAATGGTAGGTACATGTATTTTACGCTAAAAGACATAATTGAAACACACACACCCACACAAAAACTCAATGCTCCTTTAGGTGAAAATGACGTGTTACTCAGAATTGAGTATTTTATACGAATACAAGTATCTAAATAAACATTAGATTCCGATACTTATATTAAAAGAAATTATCGGATATAGTACTGGGGGAGCCAACTTATGATGAATAATGAGTGACATGTTTGTTTTTTTTTTTTTTAAATTGTGTTTTGCTCTACTCAATGAGCAATGCCCCACACCCTTTACCTAAATAAACAATGCAACATATCCCCCAACGCAACAAGTGGAAGTTGTTCCTCTAAAACTCATAAAAACATTCCCCATGGTAAACCAAACCAATTGAAATATGTGAAGGTTTTTTTTTCTGACCAAAACAATCAAAGAACTGACCATTTTGAACAAAAGAAGTAGAAGCAAGCACCGTGAACTGGTCTTGTTTGTACAATTTTGCCACATCAAAAACCTTTACAAAGCCCCAAAATGAAAGAGTCACCATGGAACTTTAATCCAAAGAGCTCATATTCAGGGATTTAAATAGCGATCCACTGTCCGATTAGCGGTAGTGATGCTGTCCGAAATTGTTATTTCACGACTATAATAGCACCCAATCGTAATAAACGTAACGCAACCGCAGTTTAAATCCCTGTTATAGCATACCGATTTTACCCATGGTTCAAAACTAGGCAAAGATATGTATGCAAGAGCTTCTTGCCCTCAACAAAAAAGGTTAAACCCCAAATCATCACTGACCCAACAATTCCAATGTGCAAAAGACAAAACCCTTAATTCCCACCAGCCTGTCTTTCATTGTCCCTTTGGCATTTTGCCAATGACAAACAACAGAACTTGCTCAAAACAATACCAACTGTTCCAATTGTCTGCATTCTATCATCAAACATCATATACTTAACTTTAACATAACAAAACATCAAACATGTTGAGTGTCCATGAAAGTCCATACCTGAATCCTTACGTAATTACTGCTTCTGCAGTGTCGGAAGGCCATCGCAACAGCCTGATCGACCGAGTCGACAGAACCATCTGCGGATATCCGAGCCATCGGTTTAGCCCATTCCTTGAGCTTCCAATTCTTGACTTGCTCATATTCATAGCTAACCTCAAGTAGCTGGCCGGCCCCTAATGAAAGCACTAACAAATCCTCAACCCCTCTAACGAAGGGAAACTCTTGTTTATTATGCAAAACATGTGTGATTGCTGCAACGGTCGGGTTGCTCATTGCCAACCCACCGTCCACCGCCACGCACTTGGTTTGACTGTCGACGGACTGCATCAAAACCGGTTCAGATAAACCCGGTTCAGCCGACGTTGCCCGGCAAACCTCCCACAATGGGAAATCAAAACTATCAGTCTCCAAAGCGTCAGCCCGGGAAAACAAAAACGGAGCCGTACTTGAAAGGTCATAACACGGAATCAAAACCGGCTTCAGAGTATCTTTCAACGTCAATCTCCTTCCGTCCGCCGTGAACAACTCCTTCATGGCCTTATCCAAACCGTTCGAACACGAACCGGTCGAGCCGTTTTTCAAAATCTTCTTTATAATACCTCCGTTTCTACTCGACCCGGACCGGTATATCCTCTTCCCGTTATCAGCGAGGAACCGACAAGTCTCATCGGCGGTGAAAATCGGTTGGCTGTTATCTCTGGTAGCGAAAAGCATGGTGGTGAAGATACCACCGACGCCAGAACCGGCGGCGACATCGAAATAATCGGCGATTCGAGCGTTGGGATCACCCGACTTGGATTTCAAGGCTTTTTCGAGATACGCCAACGCTTTACCACTAAGAATTCCTCTCATGCCGCCGCTATCGATACTCAAAATACAGATTTTACCCCTCTGGTTCTTGATAGCTGACAAGGAATTATCGTCACCCAGTTGAACCATCGGTTCAACGTTTGGTTCGGAAACCAGCGGAGAGATGGGTTTGGGAACCCATAGCTTCTGATTGTCGTCGTACCCAAACAAAAATTTGCTTTCCAGTATCGAAAAGATTTCGTAACTCAACTTATCTGTATCGATGCTTGGTTCTTGCATCTCTGATAATAACCCAAAATCCAAAAAAAAAAAACCAAAGAAAAATTCTTCTTTTTAGCAAGTGAAACTTGTTTGAATACTCCAAACTGGGTTTGCTTTCCTTTTTTACCAAGCAGCAATTATTGTTTCAGGGGCAATCCACCACACGGAAAATTCTCTGCGAAATGGAAAATTTAATGAGTTTAGCTTTAAAACAACAGTAATAAATGAAGATATTTCCAAAGTAAGTAAATCACCTTATTTGACAAGAATGTTCAACAAACATTTATTAGCTTCTGAAAATGGAAAATCACTCTTCATTTCTCAACCACTATCTTCATACAAAAAAAAAAACTTCTTTAAATTCACGCCTTTTGCCTCCCAATTCAGATATTTATCTATCTTTGAATTCGTCTTTTAGTTCTCTTGTTAATTAATCATCAAAAAGAAACAATATCCCCCATGGAAACCCAAGAGATAGACAAAGAACAAGAACCCAGAAACGAGAACAAGAAACAGCAGTTTGCTTTCAAAGGCTGTCTTCTTAATTTTGCATTTTTTAAACAACCTATAAAGTAAAATCCAATTTCCTTTTCTTTTCCTCGATTGAACCGTATTTACCGTTTTAAAATCGCAATGGAATCCGATGGCTGCAATTGTATGTTGGCTTTTAATCGACGGCCAATATTGTTTCATTACTATTGGTCCGTGATTTTCAAACTAATGATTCCTTTCTTTTTAAATTTTTCTATTGTTATTTGTAAGGGTAAACTACACTGGTAGTCATCAATTTATTATTTCTATTCTATTTTAACTATTGAATTAATTTATTTTGATAAAAACATCATTAAAAGTAATATCATATTATTAGTTTTTATGATTTAAAATATTAATTCATATACTTATTAATTTATTTAAAAAATAAAAAATTATAACTAAAATTAAATTAAATTTTTATAATAATTTTTAGTTTGGTTATAAAAAGGATAATTATGCCAACGAGAGGGTTGGTATAAGTGGTCGGGACTGAGAAATTTGAGCATATAATGTCAAGTTTGAATTCTATCGCTGCCACTCTTGGCGAGCAATCTGTAAATTTCTATATAAATATATTAATTAGATCTTAAATATGTCCTGATCTTGGATTAGGGGAGACACCCCTGATCTAAACTTTTATATACTAAAAAAGAAAATGAAAAATGATAACTATATAGCTTATTTGAGTAATTAAACATTTTTATCTTTTTGTAAGTCCCTTATTCGACTAACCCCAGTTATATTTTTACATTATTTAGATATAATGACATATCATAAGTTAAATATAAATTTTGGTAAAATATTAACAAAACTTTTCTAATTTAGTGGTTAGGCACTGAACTTCTATACAAGAGGTCTATGGTTTGATCCCTTTTAGTTATTTAAGCAAGATGATTTTTTTAATTTCATTAATCTAATATGATAGTGAAAAAAATGATGATGAGAAGATAAAAGATAATGTAAATTGTCGTTGAATTTTTAACGATCAATTAAAATAGAAAAAAAATAATATTAGATATATTTTAGGAAAAAAATAGTTAGGTGACTAAAATGAAATAAAATCAATATATTAATGGGTTTTGATAAGTTTACCCTTTTTAAATCTCCCACGCTTGTCCTTGACCGCGTAGGGCCAAAACGCCACCGCCTAGGAAAGAGAACGGAGGAGCCAACAAATTATGACCGAAATATATTTGTTTGTGGACAAATTTGCCCTTTAGGTCAAAAAGTACAATAAAAAGTTTATTCTGTAGGTGAAAAATAGTGGATAAGATAACTACCGATAGACTAATTGCTCAACAAATTGACCATAGTCGTAGTAAATAATGTTATTCTTACTATTACCTACTTTAGCGTTTCACTGTTGTACTAATTTAATCGGTACCTTACAAGAAAAATCCACTTCTTATTGTCGATAATAAATTGGTCTCATAGAAAGAGATATTATATCTCTTAAATAAGATGATATTTAAATTTTAAAGTTTGTAAATACAGTAAAATAGGTTGAAAAGCACATATTAGACATCTATAAAATTAAATTTAGATTAATTGATTAATAAATTAAATATAGATAATCAAATAAAAAAAAAAGGAAAAAGTCACTTCCTAACTAAGAAAAGTAATAGGAGTCAAATTTTTATTTGTCATCCACTTTTACTTAATTTATGTTTTAGTCATTTAACTATTTCTTTTCTTAAAATTATAAATAATATTATATTTTGATCACCTATCGTTAAAAAATTAATAGTGATATTGACGTGATACCTTTTTTTCTAATATTGATGTGTCATTGTCTTATAATGATATATGAGTATCACTGTTAATTTTTAAAGGCGGATGATCAAAACGGAATCAAAATATAATATTATGTATATTTTAAAAAATAATAATTGAATGACCAAAACATAATATAAGTAGTAGGTAGGTGACCAAATAAATAGTTTACCCTATAATAAATTACGTATCTTTCTTTAATTAATTAAGTTGAAGTGACGAGTCCCTAATTACATTTTAAATGATTGTTTATAAATAATGACTGTACAAATGATAAGCATGCATGCACCAATATATAACACATAAAAGATCAGAATTTAGTATCTATAAAGTTAGTATATTTTCTATGTATTTGATGATATTGTTTAATTGAACACTATTTAAAAAAAAGAATTTATTTGTTTTTATTTTAAACTAATTTTGTATAATCTACCATTAATTATATATTATTAACCTAATACCCAAATACTTACATGACAAACTCATTATGTGATATTAGCACTAAAAAGAAATATTGTTTTCTTTGGGTTCGAGCATTCAATTTACATTATATGTATATGTTGTCAACAAGATAAACATTTTAAATAAATATTATATTATAATCACCCCCCGATTATTATAAAAAGGTACTTAAATAAATTGTGAATCAAGATATATGACGTTGGAATGTAATATTTATTATTATATTGCCGTGGTTAAAAAGAATTATCTTGAGTTGAGTTAATAATGTTTTTTAATACAATATTAATATTGTTATATTTTAATTTATTTATAAATTATAAATAATATATATTTAAATATTTATGAATTTATATTTTTTAAATATTATAATAAAAATTATTATTCAGACTAAGATTTAATCAAAATTTAAATTAGGGTCAGTTTGACGTAGTTTTTGAAAAGTGACTTTTAAAAGTATTGTAGAAACAAACTTTTAAAAGTGTTGCACAAAAGTACAATTTAAAATTTAACTATTTGAGATTGTTGTTGAAAAGTGAGTTTGAAAAGATAAAATGTTCATTATAAACATTATGTTGTAAATTAAAAATATAGCATTTAAATTATATTTACACATTAATACTATGATATATAAAATATATAAACTTAAACTATAATAAAAATATAAAAAATATTTTAAGATAATTCATTAATAATATTTTTATATATGAAATATTTTATTAAGAAAAAAATATATAATCAATACTTTTTAACATGTGAACATAAAATTATCATGAAATAATAATTTAAATATTTGTTTTGATGAAAATAATATTACAAAAAAATATTAGTAATTAAAAAAATTATTAAATAATAATTATTTTTAAGGATGTTAATATTAAATTATTAAAATAAAATATAACTATATAATTGAGTGGAGCCCATACATTACTAAAGATAAAATTATAATTTGCTTCCAAAAGAAAAGTTGAAACTGAAAAAGCTAGAAATCTTAGCTTTTGTGGTTGGTTTAAAACCATTGTTTTCATCGTAAATTGTTTTTCCATTTTTTTTACCATTTGGCATTGATTTTGCGGTCGAAACGGACTTTTTACCTAAAAGTGCTTTAGAAAGCCACGTCAAACGGGACCTTAGTAATATCATTAATATGACACCAAAATAAATCACTAAATAAATTATTTTATTAAAAATATTAAAATTTTAAGAATCTCTTTCTCATGATTAATCTCTTATAAAAGTTTAGTTTAACTCTAATACAAAATATATTTGAATCATGTATTTTTTATTAAATGCTAAAAGCTTTGGAGAAAGATTTAGGGATAAGAATTTGAAATATATATGTGAATTAAGTGATTGCAGATGGCACTGGAATTGGAGTAAGGTAGTGACGGATTTAGAAAAAGTTTAAGGGTGGGAACACATATTAATAACATATTTTTTTAAATATAAAAGTACTAATAAAATTTTAATTATAATAAAAAGTCTTACAAAAAATACAACTGAAATAATTTTTACTATTATTCCCTTCTAGGTTTTATGTTATGATATCGTTGTATGATCTTTTCATTGTCTACATTATCAAATATTGTTAGGATTTTTTAGGCTCTATGAACAATAGAAATATTGCCAAGAGGGGATAAATCGAACTTTAGAAAATTTTGGGTATAGAGAAAAAAGGATAGAAAAATTTGCACAATTATTTATAGTGGTTCAACTTCCTCAATAAAGTCCACATACACTATCTTAGCTCCACACTAAGGATTTCTAACAAATTCAATGATTTGTTTTCTTTCTTTTTCTTGGCTCAAGAGTAACCTTTGCGAATTCTCTAGTTTTTCGAAGGCTAAATTAAAACTACCCCTTTTACAAAAATGATAAAAGATGTAAACAAGAAAACCTTAAAAGGTAGGTGTTTACAAAATTGAGCTCACAAGAAAGAATCTTAAAGATATAAAATTAAGCTCAAAACACTTATGTACAAGAGAAAAGAAAAAAAAAATTAAGAGTAAGATAGATTTTCTCTTGAATTAGATTGAGTAAGATAGATTTTCTCTTGAATTAGATTGCTCGGGTAGGTGCTGTAACCTTCTTCAAGTGTTCATGTGTTGTTTTTATAAGTTGAAATGAGTTTGTAGCCGTTTTTAGCCGCTGATGATGATTTGGAGCAGTTGGGGAATTAATTTTTTGTAAAATAAAATTGTCCAGAACATGAATATCAATACTCGGGCTTGTAGTACCAATAATTCCTTTATATTTTTTTAAATAAACTAGTCTTTCAAG